CAAAACCAAGGTCAGGCCCATGGGCCTGGTAGTGAGTGCTTACAGGGGAAGCACCCCAAGCCCACAGGCCAGTGGGAAGGAGCATCACGGACCTGGAGGGAGGGGGCCGCCTCTCTGTGAAGGAGTCCAGTCAGGCCCTGGCAGGCGGGCGGGCAGGTCGGCGGGCGGGCCATGCTCTCCGCACACACGTCACCCTACCCTCTCTCCCCAGGCAGACCACGTGACACATTTCTCCTGATGCGCTGTGGACTCAGTGTTATTTTGTTGAACCTGAGTTTTTAACAGTTACATTGTCAATCCATCATTTGTTATCTTTATGATTTTTTTTTTTTTTGCTTTAATGTGTCAAAAGCTCCCCACGCCCCCAGTTTTATTCTGGGAATTCACACTTGTGTCAGCATTGGAGAATCTTTACCACATTAACAGACTGAAGGGAAATCATATCATCATCTCAATCGATATGTATAGAAAAAGCATCTGATTAAGTACAACATTCATTGAGGATAAAACTTCATTAGTTGCATAAGCGAACTGTAGTCACCCAGGAAAGGTATTTCAAAAAACCCGCCACACACATATTACGCTTATGGTGAACTGTTAAAAATATTTCCTTTAAAAATCAAGAATGAGACAAAGAGTACTTCTGAAACAAATAATGCAATATATGTTAAGAAAAAAAAGAAGAAGAAGAAGACAGCAGGAGGGGAAGAATGAAGGGGAGTAAGTCGGAGGGGGAGACGAACCATTAGAGACGATGGACTCTGAAAAACAAACTGAGGGTTCTAGAGGGGAGGGGGGTGGGGGGATGGGTTGGCCTGGTGATGGGTATTAAAGAGGGCACATTCTGCGTGGAGCACTGGGTGTTATGCACAAACAATGAATCATGGAACACTGCATCAAAAACTAATGATGTAATGTATGGTGGTTAACAATAAAAAAATTATTTAAAAAAAAAAAAAAAAGAATGAGACAAAGATGCCCCTTCTGGCAACTTCTGTGCACCCTGCTGCCAGAGGCTCTAACCTACCCAGTAACAGGGAAAAGAGATAAGGGTGCATGCTACCCTGTTTAGTTTCAGCCCCATTTAATGGAAAACCCAAACATTGCTTCAACAGAGTAAGAACACAGTTCTCTCTTGCCCGTGGCCTCCCTGCCTCCTGCAGGGTCGCAGGACCCTGCCTCTGGGCCTCCGAGTGCAGCACTCACCATCCCAAGTGGTAAAAATGGGCCCATGAGGGCAGGGTGGGTGCATCATTCCACATTCTACACATTTTCAAAGTACAACCTGGAAAAAAATAGCACCCCTTGAATTTTTAAAGGAATAATGTCGCGGTTTTCAGACACATGCCCATACACACTAAGATACTTCCTCCCACCTGTGCCACCTCTGAAATTTAGCACCCTGTGTCACTAGTCATGTCCGGTTAATGGCTACATGGTTGTTTTTCTTAATGGCCTAATCGTTGGAATACAGCGTATACTACAGATTATAAGGAATAGCAAAAACTGTCTATTTAAGTGAAGGAGACAACACTTTTGTAAAAGTCAAATGAAAGTACCAGAACTTGAGGCCATCTGAATAGCATTGTGTATTATCACGCCAAAAAAAACAGTGCAGCCCATCTACCCAGAAATACTGCCTGGGAGCACGCACAGATTGGGGCCTGGGGGAGGTCCTGGGGCCACAGGGAAGCCGGCGGGGCGGGGGGTCTGCCAGCGCCTGGATGGGCCAGCTGGAGCCTGCGCTCTGTGTTCCAGGGGGTGCAGGGATGGTGGCGTTCTTTACCAATCACCGTACCTGACAGAAAAAGTAGTGCTTTCTGGTCATGAAACACCTCACAGGTACAAAAGCACATGTGAAGCCGCATGTCCTGGTGGGAACGGGAGTCTTCACCCCACTGCCCAGCTTAAGGAGGACCCCAGGTCACATTTTCAGAAGTCCTACGAGGAGCCTCTGCCCTCGAGACAACTGCTTCTTTGTGATTATCGGGATCTACGGTCAGGTTGTGGAAGTCTCTCCCTGAGAAGTACTGAAACAGAACTGACCTGTCCACCCTGTGAGGACCCACAGACACAGGACCTGTGGCCGGGGTCCATGCCAGGGATGGGCCGAAAGCAAGGCTGCTGGAGGGGCTCTGAGAGCTGACTGTGCCGGGAAGGTGCCCAGGACCAGAGTGAATGAGCCCGACTGGCCTGAACCCTGCCACGGGGCCAGCAGGACACTGACTTAGGAGTCTCAGGACCGTCTCTCAGGGCTCGGTGGGCTTCTGGCCACCCAGACCAGCCAGGCCTATTGTAATGCCACTCGTTTAATGAGATTGATGAGACACCCAGGCTTGGTGGGTGGCTCACCATCTGGGGTCTCCGCAGTCCCACCCCCCACTTTCACCCCTACCAGAGTCACCCACAATCCACGCCTTTGCACAACTCGACCCACCCTTGGTCCCCTGGCGCCCCAGAGAGGTGTGGTCTGCCCTGACCTGCACTCCTGTCCCCCTTGTCTGATTGGCTTCCCAAGGGCAGGGCTGGTATCTCTGAGTCCACCAGCAGCCGCTGGGCATGAAGCACATGAGAGGACACAGACCGGGTGGGGCATGACTTCGGAGTTTAGGGAGTCTGTCCTAAAACCAGGGTGGCAGAGGCCCTAGGCCTCCATGCAGGTTCCTGATGGGTGAACCCTTCCATGTTGGCTCTGGCAAGCTTGGGACAGCCTCTGGGCCTCTGAGACCTCCCATTAGAGACACACTGGCTGGAGGAGGGACCAGCATGTCCACACAGCTTTGGGATCTGACCCAGGACATGCAGGAACCCGAGTCCTCTGAGAGAAGGCAAACAGGCAGCAGAAGTCTCAAGAGGAAGGACAGCCCCCTGCCCAGGCAGTGGCCCTCTCCAGAACAGCAGAAAGGCTTGGTCTTGACAAGCAGCAAGGGCATCGGGCTGGTGGGCCTTCACCTGGCCTGGGACCCCACAGAGCTTCCCTCACTTTGGGTGGTACAGGAACCACACCCTGGGTCCGATGAAAGGGCCGTTGACCCGCTCAATGGGGGTAGCTGGGCAGGGAGCCTCCCCAGGCAGGTGTCTTGGGCTGGAAATGGTTACGGAGAAACATTAACAAACTGATTCAGCACATTGCTCTGCCAGTTCCGGGCTGCCCAGGACTGTAGGGGTCATGTGTGGCGCCGTGTGTGTGGACCCCTGCTCCGTGGCGAGAGCACCACTGGAACGGAGACCAGGGGCCTTGAGGGGAAATGCTGGGATGTGGACACTGGATGGTGGTTTCCCTCCTGCGTTGGTTTCACTGTCACCTTTGCCCTGGATTATCCCAAATGACCACAATGATCCTCTAACTATTTGCAAAGTGAGCCTTGTTGTCTGTCCATAAGATTTGGTCCTGACTTTCAGGGACCTCAGATTTGTGAGATCAGTGCTGGCTGGCCTGGAGTGTCCGGACTGGGGGGAGTGGCCCCTGTGCGGTGGTGGTGGAAGGCCTCCAGCCCCCTTTTCTGGCCTATTTACAGACCTGTGTCCTTGAACATTGTGCCTGGAGTTGGGTTCAGAGCCAGCGCAGCGGAAGGAGCACCTGTCCGCACCAAGAAAAAGGGGAAGGGGCTTCCCTGCCCTCCCTGGTCACTGCACTGTCACTCTCAGCAGCTTACACTTGAGGAACTGGGGTGCGGTCACTTTAAAATCCATCGTGAATTCTCATTTTTCCAGAAACATAGGGTGAATGATGGCTTCTAATAGACAAGTTCATGCAATATGATGGCTTCGGGGAGCCTCCTGCTGAGTGAAACCGGGTCCTTCCCCTCCTCGGGCCGGCAGGACCCCAGTCCAGAGCCACCGCCCTGCAGTCCTGTCAGGAGGGAAGGGCTTGGAGTTCCCCCCCACCCCCGGTGGTTTGGACCTGCCGACCGCAGGGCGGGCGGGGGCGGGAGGAGGGGCTGCCTGCGCGCCCCAGGCTGCGGCAAGAGCAGGAAGCGGGCCCTGTGGGTTTTCGTGCCGCCACCAGGCGCCTTCAGCAGCACCCCCGTGCAGAGGCAGATTGTTGGGGACGCCAGGCAGTCCCTCGGAAAGGGACACCGTCCGCATCCTTACTCGGTGCCCAGTTCCCGAGTTAACTCGGCGTGTGACACAGCAGCAGCAGCGGGAGGATGAACCGCTGGTCCCTGACAGACAGGACACGGGCACTGCGGGTCCTGCGGCGGCGGTGGCAGGCGGCGGGGCGCGTCGCCGTCCCACTCATCCCTGCGTCCCCGGGAGCTCTCCCCGCAGGGCCACACCCGCCACAAGCACTCACCTCCACTCCTTCGCGCACGCACACGTGCACGCGGGCACACATTCCCACAGACAGCATTTCACCGAAGACTGCCGGGCCTTCTCCACTAAAACAATAATATGCAGGCAAAATCCCTAAAATAAGCGTGAACGTTTCCATTTGGTCAAGACTTAACAAACCTGGTCAGTGAAAGTAACGAGTAAGTTCATTTAACAGTCCTGGCACCAAACTATTTTCACCTTCTTGTTCAGGCCTCAGTTTCTTGCCGAAACCCCAAACCATGGAGCCAGTTCTGAGTGTCCTGCTTATGGGAGGAAGGGGCTGGAGACGCGCCACAGAGTGAACCTCAGAACACATTACTGGCTGCTTTGCACAAAATGGGAAGCTCTGTATTGGCCCCTTTCGAGAACTCTGAATGAAACTGTTCACTGTTCACTGCAGGGAAGTTTGGTAGGACCGTGATTTAAAAAAACTCGTTTTAAAATATCTGTAAGATACCCACAAGTAAGCTTGAGGCATCAATCATATATTAACAACAGCAGAAACTCAAAAACTGAAAAACAAAACAAAAAAGAACAGGAAGCGCCGGGAGGCTACCCAGAGCAGCAGGTGCGCGCGAGGACACTACGCGGCCGGCCAGGCGCCCCCGGCGCGGGGACCCGCCTCACAGGCCCCGCTGGGGAAGCCGGCAGCTCCCGGACTGCGCCCTCCCTCCCCGCTTGTCCTAGAACAGGTAATACAGGCGGTAGGCAGCGACGGGCGCGGCGAGGAGTCCTGGCACCTGAGGCAGGGAGCCCGCTGCGCCGGCGTACCCGGGCAGGGGCGCGCCCAGGGCGAAGGGCAAGGCAAACGAAGGCAGCAGCGGCTTGGCCGCCAGCTTCTCCAGCTCAGACTCCTGCAGCCTCTTCGCCTTGGCGCGGCGGTTCTGGAACCAGATCTTGACCTGCGTCTCGGTGAGGCCCAGGCTGCTGGAGAACTCCGCGCGCTCTGCGATGGACAGGTACTGCTTCTGGCGGAACTTGCGCTCCAGCACCAGCAGCTGAGCGGTGGTGAAGGGCGTCCGCGGCTTGCGGTTGGTCTTGTGTTTTCGGAGGGTGCAGGGTGGAGGGCTGGCGGCGCCTGGGAGGAGAGAAAAGCACAAAGCGGGCGCTCGGACGCCAGCAGTGTGCACCCCTTTCCGACACTTTCGAACCCGCAAAGGCCGGTTACCGATGCGAGTCTCGGCCCTGAGGGAAGACGAGACTCCAGGAGCCACGGGGGTAAGAGAGCAAGGCGTCGGGGGACGGTGCGTGCACGGGTGGGGGGCGCCGGACTCAGGCTGTGCTCCTCAAACAGGCAGCCTCGCAAGCCAGGGAGGAGAGGAACTCTGCCCACTTGGAGAAGCGAGAAGCTTGGGCGGGAGGCGGCCGCAAGAACCGAGCGGTGAGCACTGGGGTGAAGATTCGGCGAAGCAGAAGTTAAGCTTGGCGGGGACGGACGGGGTCGGGAGATGCTTGGGCCGGAGAAGCTCTGAGCCAAAAAGCCGCGGGTTTACTACTTTGCGAAGTTATGAGCGACAGCGCCCTTCCCGCCCTCGTCCTTCGAGCCTGGGCCGGGTAGGGGTTTCTCTCGATGCCCAGGACCGTGCGACAGGGCACTTACGTGGGGACGACGAGCGGGCAGCCGGCGGGAACCAGGCCCAGGGCTCCGCGGCGCCCCGTGGCCTCTCCTCCCGGAGCTCCGGGGGCTCCGAGTCCAGCCCGCGCTCCGCCTCCAGCAGCGACTCGACGCTGAAGGGCAGCGGGCCGGCCCCCGCGCGCCCCTCGCCGTACGTCTTGAGCCCAGCGGAGTTCATGCCGAGCGACGCCGGGGCCGTGCGCTGGCCGGCGGGCGCAGAGCTGGCGGGACTCTGCAGGCGCTACGAGAAGGTAGCGCACGGCAGGATTGCCGCGGGTTTGGCGGCGCCCCCACCCTCGGAACCCTATAAAGAGGCGGTGCCCCTTTCATGCGCCGCCATCCAATCGCCGCGGTCGCTGCAGCGTGAGCCTGGGTGTCCATTGGCTTCGTTGACCTGGGGAGGGCGGAATGGACAGGGAGGGGCGGGTCCGCCACCTAGGACCCTGAGCCCCGGGTCCCCGCCGGCGTGGCGCGCTCCTGTCCGGCTCCCAGCGCCCGCCGGCCTCTCCCGGAGCTCTGCCGGCCGGGCCCGCGCTCCTGCTGCCCAGGAGATGGCTGGGGCACCCGGGGAGCACGCGGAGCTGGCCCCAGCTTCCCCAAACGGAGGAATCGATGGCGGGCGCGATCTGGCAGAACCGCGATGGGGAAGACCGGCCTTGACAGCGCGGATCCTGCGACACGGAAAGCGCCGCACCTTCAGAGGCAGTGTCGTCCCCCTGTGGGTCGCCCGCTCTTCTGCTGCGCCCCAACCCGGACCCGGAACCCTCGGCGCCTGCTGCTTTGGCCCAGGCGCTTTCTCCCAACCCTGGGGGCCGCATATGATGGACCCGGCGCCTGGACTTCCGTCCCCTTAAGTCGCCTTGGCCTTGGGTGGCTTTTCAGGCACCTGTAGCTGTCCGGCGCCCTACCGGGCAGGGGCCGCCCGTCGCGCTGCCCGAGGGTCCCATGGCCCGGCCCTAGGAGCAACCAGCAGGGTGCGTCGAAGGTCCTTGGGCAGGGCCTGCAGTCGCAGGGAAGGTGGAGAGGGCCACCCTCTTAACCACCTCGGTTGCCGGGCCTGGGACCCAGGCAGGCCCCTCAGCCGCTCCTGTCGCTGGTGTTTCCTGTCAGCCTCTCGTCCGCACTTGCTCGCCCGAATGGTCCCAGGACGCGGGACTGGGACCTGGCACCAGGGAAAGGTCCCCAGAGAGGGACCTCGGCGGGGCGGGCTTCCGGCCCACCCGGGCCAAGCGGGGCTGCTTCTAGGCGGCCCCCGCGAACCCCGGCCGAGGCAGGAGAGGAGATCCAACGGACACCTGCTCTTATTTAGATTATTTTTCCAAAACTGGACCAATCTTTGGTTTAAAAACCTTCTTGGGTGCTGTAGGCTCCCCTCTGCAGTCTCTCCCTGAAGTTTTAGAACAAATCATGAGATTGGTTTGCGGGTGACCTTAGGTCTGATTAATATCCCAGAACGCAGGAACAGCAACCTGAATCAGTATACATTTATTTTTGAAAAACCAAAGTTGTTTTTTTTTTTTTTAAGATTTATTTATTTATTTATTCATGAGAGACAGAGGAGGAGAGAGAGAGAGGGAGAGAGAGAGAGAAAGAAGCAGAGGGAGAAGCAGGCTCCCAAGGAGCAGGGAGCCCGATGTGGGACTCGATCCCAGAACCCTGGGATCATGACCTGAGCCGAAGGCAGACACTTAACCATCTGAGCCACCCAGGCGCCCAACCAAAGTTGTTTTAATGAAATACAGCTTTGGGGGACGGTTAACTGTCTGTCCCAGCCAGAGAAATTCAATTAGAAAGTTTTTTTCTCCATTAATTTAAATTTAGAAGTGTGGCTGAAGGGGCCCTCTGACCCGGCTCCAAGGCCAGGCCTGGTGTTGCAGCTGGGGCAGCTCTTTCTCCATCCCAAGACGGACTGCCCCTTTCTAATGGAATAAAGACGTTCTGAGTCAAATGAAGATAATTGCATCATTAAAGCGCTTTCTTTGAAGGACTCTCTCCTGGTAGTTTATTTTCAGCAGTGAGCCACAGAAGTGTTGGAAGACGAATTTTCATGAGGGTGACTGACAGCCAGCTGCCCCAGCCTACCCTAGGTCTGCCCAGGACACTGTGAAGAGGGTGTCTGCATGGGTGAAGTGGGAGTCTGTGCTGTGGTTTGGCTGGCCCCGGGGGAAGGAAGGGGTCTCGGGGCCAGATGCAGCACCACCCTTCAGGAAAGTCTTGTCCTGCCCTGTGTGTGTCCACGTTGGTGTTCCTCCCTCCTGGCAGGGCAAGGCTGGGCCAGTGCTGACCAGGACTCGGCCTGGCATGGGTTCCAGCAAAGTGGCAGAGAAGAGAAGGAAGATATGGGGGTTGGGGAGATCCTCCAGGGTTGGACATGAAAATCCAGGCCCCAACACTCAGCACGAACAGGTTTCAGCAGGGCAGTGTCCTCAGACCTCCGGGGTCTGGCCAGCAGAGGGACAACGGGGGGAGGATTGAGAAGGGACCCCATTTCTGTCAATGTTGTGGCGTTGGACATAGAAACCCGTCTCGTGTGTGAAGAAAGACTAGACGCTGTCTCTGGCCCCCAGGAGAGACAAAGATGACTGTGGTCGCTTGGCTTCCCAGCAGCCCAGGAGCAGGCCAGCCAGGAGACCTGGGACAGCCTGTGACAGTGGGCCTTCTGGGCACTTTTCAGGGGCACAAGGGCCCCCTCACCCCACACTTGACGGACATTTCCCTGGTTTGAGGGGCATTGTTTCCCACAATTCACTACTAGCTCTGAGCTGTGAGGGGACAGAAGGTCACACAAAGGCCCGCTTTTCTTGCCTGTGTTTTGGTCCCCCCTTTGGTGCCAACTTCATAGGGAATGAACACACCCTTCGCTTTCAGAAACAAGGGGGAGGGTTGGAAGCCCTGCTGGGGGTTTCCTTGGAATCAGTGTGATGTGATGATTTTTGAGAAGGGACTTGTAAGATTCAAATGGCCAAGTTTGGAACTGGACAGGATGAAAGTGGAAATGCTGTCTCTCCTCACAAATCTTGGTGGGGGCGTGCGGGTAGTGTTTGATGCTACAGACGTGAGGTCATGTAAAGCCCACGCTAGCTGGTGCCATGGGATCGAAGGTGACGTCACTGTCCTGAAGAAAGTGATTGTCCCCTCTTGGATATTGGTGACACTTGTCCAGTCCTTGATGGAAAAAACCGGGCAGACTTTCCCTTATATCTAGTGGTCAGTGGTAATCAGCAGTTTGCACACAATGGGACCCAGGACAGGGCCACCCACTCCAGGCCTCTTCCAAAGGCTGGCTTCCCAGAAAAGCACTTTGGAAACCACCAACCTCGGACAGGCCTCCCCTCCCCAAAGGCATGTGTGTTGGAGCAGGTGACTTTTTCCTTCTCAACTTTGGGAATTGCTCCAAACACAAGTGGCACTTTACCCACAACTCTGGCCAGAGGGGGCCCAATTGGCATGAGTCCCAGCAGCTAGTAGGCAGGATAAAGGGGGACAGCAGGGCCGTGGTGTCCACCTGGAGATGCTCTGGCGTCACTCAGGAGAGAAGCTGCTCCGGGCCAGGCGAGGCCTGTGACACGGGAAAGGCTCAGATGAAGGGGTGGCTGCCCCTCCATGGCGTCTCCTACTTCTTCCTACGTCTCTCCTGTTTGCCTTCTCCCTTTCACATTCACTTGCCAAAGCTCCTGAAGGGGGAAAATCAGAGGAGAAGCGCCTCTGAGCTGAGCGACTCCTCTGTCCGGGGCCCCAGGCGCATATCCTTTTGCCCAGGCCAGGACAGAATGCCCCACCGCGAGACGTCACAGCCTGATCTCTGGGACCTGGGAACACATCGGGGTACTTGGCAAAGGTGGGATTAGGATTGTTAATCACCTGACCTTGAGATGAGGAGACCATCCTGAAGGCAGGCAGACCAGTCTAGTGACGAGTGTCCTTGGAGGGGACAGGGAGAGCCAGAGAGAAGGATGCAGCCAGCTGCCGCGGGCCTTGTGGGCAGCTTCTAGAAGCGAGAGGCCCGGGGCTCAACTAGCCTGCTGTCACCTTGACTGTGGCCCACGGGAACCACGTGCACGTCTTCCCTCCAGAACTACACAATAATAAAGGTGTGTTGTTTAGTAACTTGTTACAGCTGCGCTAGGGGCCAATCCACCCCCAGAGGCACTATCATCACCCCGTCTCCTGGGGAGAGGAACCGAGACACAGAGACACAGGTGACTTGTTGGAGGTCAGGCACCCTGTGTGGCTGTAACTTCTGAGCTCTTTCCTCTGTGTGCTCCCTGAGCGGGGGAGCCCTGCCCTGCTCCCCGCTTCTCCTGCATGGCCGAGCCAAAGGTCAGAGCTAGAGCCCCATGGCACGCCAGGGCCCTTGAGCTGGCACCACCTCCCTGGGAGCCCAGGCCTCCCTGGTGCATCCTGGAGACTTCTCCCAAGCTCCCTTGCTCTGCACACTCAGCCCCACCTCCATAGCCCCTTCGGTGGGACATGTTCTCAGGTGCCTCTGCCCCGATAAACTGGGCCCAGGGTGCTGACTGACCACACCAAAGTGATAGAAGGCAGGTGGTTCTGTGCCTTTGTGAGGACCCAGTGCACCAGCTACCGTCCCTCCAAGACTGGCTGTCTGCCCGCTGTGAGCCCTCGGAGACCTAACTGTCCTGGCCAGAGACTCTGGATGCCAGGGCCGGGTGGGGCAGGGCTCCTGAGGATGGATGAGGCTTCCTTCCGGGGCCAGGAAAGCGGGCTTCTCAGAGTGGATTGGGGCTCCCTCTCAGTTCTGCCAGGCCCCAGATGCTGCCTCTGTGCACCTTCTTTCTGTCTGTCTGACATCTCCCTCTCTCTGTCTCTTCCGGTCTCTGTCTCTCTACCTCTGACTCTGGCTCTCTCATAGCAAGAGCACAAGCAGGGGGAGCGGCAGAAGCAGAGGGAGAAGCAAGCTCCCCGCCGGGCAGGGAGCCTGATGCGGGGCTCGATCCCAGGACCCCGAGGTCACGGCCTGAGCTGAAGGCAGACGCTCAACCACTGAGCCACCCAGGTGCCCCAATGTTTCTTTTATTCTGAGGATTAACAACTTTTCTTTGGAGATCCTTGGAAAAGAAAGCCCATGCAGAGCGGGGACAAGGCCGTTCAGGCAGAGACGAGGATGAGCGCGGGACGGTTTTGGAAACGGGGCCGCCGGGCTGCCGCTCCCAGCTT